CTTTTTTATAGAATACTACAAAATTATTATGATGGAATACAAAGGATTTATACAACCTTTTTTTTTTTTTATAGAATATTACAAAATTATCATGATGGAATACAAAGGATTTATACAAAATATTAATAAAAAATTTTTTTATTTTAAATTTCAAGAGCATATATTTATTACTTTTTCTTTTATAACATTTAATTACCCCTTCTTCAAGAGCTTCCATTACAAAAAGTCAAAAACACACGATAAGAACGTTAATCCTATTAGCTGAAAAACCGTTTTAAAAATCAGTAATATAAAATTATAATTAAAGAACAAGTACGGTATTGACCAAAAAATGCCGCGTTTCAGATCTGCTCCGTTCAAAACATTTAAAAAGCCTAGAAGTTTAAGATTAGATGGTATATAATCTATATCTATGACTCAAATGTATGCACTGAAAAAAAATGCTCAATATTGTTTTTACGGTCTCATCCGAAGGACCGGAATAAAATACATGAAAACAATGCAAAGCATTGAAAGGGTTGTAAAACATTGGATAAAAAGAATCTCCCATGATTTGTGGTTGACATGATTTTATAACTCATCGTGTGTTCTTCGGGGATAAAACGAAACCCATACAATTCGTTGGACGAAAGTCATTTCATGGAAGATCCTATATATATTCCCATCTGTGTTTACTGTTTAATTGCTTATGAAGAACTATATATACTTGGATGAATACTTACTACTTCATGGTATATGGACGTTCGTTTTATTACAGATGTATTTGAAATAGCTCTAAAACTTAACAAGTTAAAAAAAACCCAACTTTTCAGCACTTACACATCATTTATACTCTCTTTAATTTAATTTTATTCTTTGTCAGTTCATATGTACACTTATTAAGAAAAAATAAAAGTCTTTCTTGTATATTTATCTAAATTGCTTTAGCACACGAAAGAGTAAGGTCTGTCCATACATTTTCTTTTTAATTTAGAAGATCCAAAAACCACTGATGCTTACAAAAAATCCCTGTAAAGAAAAGTAGACAATTTGCTTACTGTTCTCAATCCAGGACGCCTAACAAATTTTACAGGGATTATGATTACAATCATCGGTATCAGTTGATGAAAGAAGGGCGGAACCAATCTTAATGAACCTGACCTGATTTTGTCGTTTGAGAGGTTTACATACTGCGCCCTTTACGTTTTTATATATTGATGTGACCAATAATCATACAATATCCTCTTTCATTCAAAACTGTCCCATTATAAGTATCTATGTAGCCCCCCGTTTAAAAAAAAAATAGGTACAGTTATATAGTCTTGATTAAATGCTTTATTAAAAATGTGGTCATATTGAGTTTATTCTTCATTACATGTCTGATTCGATGATTGCACGGTAAAAAATATTAGAGAAATTTTACTTTTAAGCAAATTGTAACACATTGTTTCAAAATCGTGGATTTTTTTTTTTGTCAAGCAATTTGAAATATGCAAAAAATAATACTTTTATATAGTTTTCAACCAACATGACATTTCATCAAATGTTAAGTATGGAACGCCATAGCTGCCTTATGTGGCTATTTCATATTATGCTGTGGTTATTTTATATGAAGATGGTGCTCTTTTATATGAAGATGGTGCTCTATTATATTATGCTGTGGTTATTTTATATGAAGATGGTGCTCTTTTATATTATGCTGTGGTTATTTTATATGAAGATGGTACTCTTTTATATGGAGGTGGTGCTTTATTATATTATGCTGTGGTTTTTTAATATGGAGGTGGTGCTTTATTATATTATGCTGTGGTTTTTTAATATGGAGGTGGTGCTTTATTATATTATGCTGTGGTTATTTCATGTGAAGGTGTTTTTTTTTTATGTGAAGGTGGTTTTTAAAAAAATATATATATTTAATGTCAAAATATTCCTCATATTTTTGAAGATTAAGTTTAATACTGAGTTTAACAGCTATTATCTCGAAATGTTGAAAGTAAAACAAATACTTGTACTAGTAATTAATGTAATTAAAATCATTTGTATACACTATTGCTAATTTCTCCTTTTTTCCATTATGCACTTGGTTTCAGGTTGATGTATTTTGTGTATTATTGTTTTTCCTAGGTGTGTCTAAATACACTCGAAAACATACAGAATAAAAACGATCATTAAGATTAGCACGTTTTAAAAATGCCTTATTACTGTATATAGGTTCGACAGTTGCCTTTTTTGGGAAATCTAGAGGGATGTGTTGTCTCTATCATTCCCGGACGCCTCTACATTCTACATGTACATAGTTATAAATCGTCACTTCCATTGCTTTCACTTTCAGTGCTAAATATCAAGACCTTTTATGTTTACTGCATATTTTATACGACAAGTTCAAATTGGTAGACGTATGAAGGGCGTTATTTAATCATTTTTTAAAGTAGATTTTTTTTGCTTCTGTGCGATGTTTTTGGATTTGTGAAATTTTTAAAGTTTATAGTTATTAGAAACATATCATGCCATTTTCGAAACAAAACGTTTAAATGATAAAAAACACCCAATAATATAATCATAAATTTATGCTTCTCAATGAATAAATATTCAATTTTGCGTTAAATACATATATATAGCCTATATAATACTTTACATTAATTGTGTTTTATTACGATGCTACAATCAAATATATGTCAGGCAAGGATTAAAAAAAAAATTCATATTTGCATTTGAAAGTACACAAAATACACCATACACACATATAAGGTTTTATTGAAAAAAAAGAGGGGGTCAAATTTCTAGCATTTTTCATGTGTGGAGTAATTACATATGACCATGTTCATATAATATAACCACAACATAATATAATAGAGCATCATCTTTCTCATATAAAATAACCACAGCATAACATAACAGAGCACCATCTTCATATAAAATAACCAATCTTAATGAATCTGACCTGATTTTGTCCTTTGAGTGGTTTATATACTGCGCCCTTTATGTTTTGATATACATGTGTATTGATGTGACCTATAATCATACAATACTCTCTTCATATAAAATAACCACAGCATATATATTTATGTAGTCCACCGTTTAAAAAAAATAGGTACATTATAAAATTAAATGCTTCATTAAAAATGTGGTCATATAATAGAGAGTTTATTCTTCATATAAAATAACCACAGCACAATAAATATAGAGAAATTTTCATATAAAAGATTGTAACACATTGTTATAAAATAACCAAGCAATTTGAAATATGCAAAAAATAATACTTTTATATAGTTTTCAACCAACATGACATTTCATCAAATGTTAAGTATTAATGCCCATTTTACACTGCATGAAATAAATCAGTCAGCATTTGACTCAATAATAACTTGTATTTGCTGAAAAGGTCATTGTATCGACCACAGAATTTACGAAATGATGACTTCAATCGAGACTGCTGATCTTCTTGCTTCATCAACTTGTTTGTCAGTAATTTTCTTCGTTTTAGAAATTGTACATAAGAAGAGCATGTTCTTATCTTATATCACGTATCAGATTTTGGACAAATTCTGCTTCATAAGAATACAAAAAAGGTCTGCTAAAAACGGGGAATTCCAATAGAGTTTTGGAAGGCATGGTCTTCAAACACCACATAGATATTGTCAATTAGAAACTCAAGCGCCTATTTGATGTCAACTTCAGAGTACTTGTGTGTACAATCAGAATATTTTTTAACAAAATAATTTTCCAAATGACCAGTGACAACGTAATTAAATTTATTAGTTCCATTTTTATTGATAAAGCATCTGTTATTAATATCAAAAAGCTTGGACTTTAATTTATTGTGGGAATTGTTGTGTATTAAGTTGAAAAGTCGTATTTTTTTAAACTGTTGATTTTGGTAAAATCTTGTGATTTCAAAATTTCTAAAAGAATCTTGGAATTTTTAAGTATACTCATTTGATTTACACATCTTCTCGAATATATCGTTGTACAGAACTCTTGAAATTTCTCCATCACTACTGTTTATATCTTAGTTAGGAGTAAAGACAGAGGCTTGGTTGAACATTAAATGAAACCCGCTATGTATCTTTGTATGATTTTTATGAAGTTTCGGTATTCAGCATAGATATTGTGATTCAAATTCATTTTGATTGTTTTGGGTACTAAAAATATTCTAAACTGACATAAGATTTTGAATAATTTCTTCCTTAGAAAAGGAACTTCGAGTTGGATTATCACTATTATAATATATATGAAATTCCGACGCCAGATGAAGGATCGGGGTCTCCTATATTTAAGACCTTTTAAAATAAGTGATCTAAGGTCCGCATTATTAACTATATTTTTTGTCACCTGTAATAACGATAGTTATAGGGTGAAGAAGAACGTAACCACGATGAAGGATTATGTTTCAGGTACTCGATATCAAGGCCCTGTAAAGTTTTCTTGTAATTAAAAAGTTTGAAAGCAAGAGTCGATATATATTTGTAGGAAATATAAGATGCAGTCTTTAACTTGAAATATGGTGAAATAAAAAAGTGGTCCCTTTTTCGTGCATTAATTTTTTTTTTGGATAAAATAAGTTTTTGCATGCTTCTATCAGTTCTAGAGATTAAAAGAAAATTTGTATAATTAAATCATTGCCAAGCTGTACTCGTTCAATAGATATTTTCTTTATCAACTCTGTGAACCCTTAAAGGGTTATTAATAAAAGCAAGAATTTATTTCCCGAAATTAACAAAACCATTTCATTAATCTTTGTAAGACATATATATAACTTAACCCTTGTACTGTGGAAAAAATGACAAAGAACCCTGACCACAAAGCGTTTATCACCCTGATTAAGGTCTCTAACTAATCTAAGTCGTAATGATGTACTCCTTACTACTAATTCTTGACCTCAAAAAGCAATAAATGTTTTCTTGTTTACTCTGTTTCTTTGTCATACAGTTGAGATATTGGTCAATCTTGATTAAATTTTTCTAACGTAGAAATGACGTTATTTTTTAATTTGATTGATGAAAACTTAAATTTGATGTTAAAAAACAGTATAAATAGAAGAGTACCAAACCATTCCTATTAAGCGATTTCTCTACGACAACCAAATCAACCAAGGTAAGAATTTTTTTCTTTCTTTAAAAAAACCGTTTTCGCTCATGGTAAGTTTGTGTCTTTTTACACTTGAATTTATTGAAGAGATGAAGGAAAATAACATTAAACACATTTCAGCAAAGTTTTTTTTTCACATTGTTAACTTTCCTGCATTTAACTGTCATATAAAGACTATTTCAAAGAAGAAAAGCATCACTAAAAAACCCACATATAAAAGAAAACAATTTCAAGGAAAAACATTTTTTTTTTCAATGTTTTGAAACTTGCCAAAATTTCTCAAATTTGAATGCCAGTCGAAATATGGCTGAAATATTGCTGACTCGACGTAAAAAAATAAACAGTATTTTACCCGTTTAGCACTGGTTTTGAGAAGTTCTTCAGGGAAGGTTTGTCCATACCTAAATTTAATGTATTTGAAATGTTGTGATGTAAGCATGATGTTTTAAGTTTCTCAAGGCACTCTTCCCCGGGAAAGAAAATCACATACAAAAAACTTTGAAAAATGATAAAAAGAAAAAGAAAACATGTGTCTGACATTCTGGAGCATATTTTATTTATACAGACTTTTTGTTAGTGGTAGGGAGAAAAGGGTTAGATCGGCGTTTTTCATATTTTAGGATTTTTATAAAATACTTTATACACCCATATTATGTATATCATAACGGGTAAAAGGTCTAAATTGTGTTCAGAATTAAAGATTGTAGGGCTGTATATCATTGCTATCCCTTGGATACATAATTAGTTTATCTTACATGCACATCGATGGGATTTTTTTTAAAATCACCTTCAAGGAAATGTGGGATAAAAGCATATCTATAAAATAAGGAAATCAGAGTAGATACTACCATTATAATGAAAAGTAAAGCAAAAATATTAAATACCATTTGGAAATAAAACTTTGGAAATAAAGAGCTCTAAAGGCGATAACTATCTTATCACTGTCCTTTACGATGAAGAATGTTCCTTACATCTATAGAAGTACTTTAAGTTTAGAAAAAGATATATAACACATCAACAATGTCATTTTGCCTGGTAAACTTTTTGAATTTAACTAGTTTCTACAAATTAATAAAAAAATCTAAATACGAAAAGGAATTACTTCTTGCGAAAATGCATAGAAAATATTACTGTAAACAGTAGGTAAGAAAAGATAAACCTCCAAAATATCATTACGTTATTGCTTTGGAAGATACCATTGCTCCTTCCTGTCAAGTTAGATGTACTTATATTACAGGATTCAGAATTCTCTTTCAACTTGTGATCAAAAATCACATTTCTGATTTTCGTTAAATTGTTATTTTAATATTTTAAGGATATGTAAAGGATTATATAAAAGGATATGCTTAAAAGCTGTAATTTTAAAATACAAATGAGTTTTTAAATTTTTAGAATTAGAAAATTTATCAAAAACATGAATTTCAACAATTGAAAGAAAATAAATTTCTATCTTAGGTTTCTTATTTTGAAATTTTAAAATTATCCTATAAAACAATTTCTCTTTAAGGTAATGATATACAAATGAATAGTATTTCTTTAAATCTAGATGAAATGTGCATGGAAACCTTTTTTAGAAGTTCACTTACTTTTTTTTTCACCAATACAGCATGTTCCGTCTGTTGTGCTGTCTAGCCATCTTATCCCTGGCCCTCGGCCTGAACTACGGTGGTTACGGTTATGGTGGCTACATAGGCAGCCCTTTCTACGGAAATGGTCTCTATGGGAACAACCTGTATGGCAACGGTCTCTATGGAAACAACCTGTATGGAAGCGGTCTCTATGGAAACAACCTTTATGGAATGGGTCTCTATGGAAACAACCTCTATGGAATGGGTCTCTATGGAAACAACCTTTACGGAAGAGGTTTCTATGGAAACAGATTATATGGAAGAGGTCTCTATGGAAACTACTACAATAAAGGATATGGCAGGGTAAATATCAAATCATTGATAAGGTTAATTAGTTTGTTTATAAGGCAAACGGGTCAGAACTGCACTGTATATTTTACAAAACATGTTTTGAGCAAGCCTGATATTTTTTATTCTATTTTTTTTCTGATGAAGTGCTAATTAGTTTCAGGAAATTGTACTATTTTCTATTTTTTCTTTCAGAGCTATTATTGAAGTTGTCGGAGAAAATTTCTTCAAATATAAAGAAGTTAAAAAAAAAAGCTGGCTTGTTGTTTTCATTTGTACAAAGAGTATACATTTACAGTAAATTCTGAAGTATTCATAGAAAGTAGCAAATAGTTAATTTGTTTTTATAAGAACAGAAAAACACATAAAATAATTTAATGATGATGTGACGATTTAGCCACTTGCGGAGTATAATGTTCACCAAGCAAGAAAGACGATGTGAATATACTAGTATATTGTACACAATATGACTACGATGTAGAAAGATTTATTAGAGACTTGGCGTACATATTGAAGGGGGATTCATTAGGATTTTTTCTGTATTGCATCAAAACGTTGGAGGGGTAAGAGTTTAATTCAATATTTTCAAAATAAATTAACCATAAAAATTTACGTTAAAAAAGTAGGACTACCCCCTCCATTAAAACCCATCCTTTGTCATGCTAAATTGAGTGGAAGTCGGGTGCAGGTATAATTAATTTTAATTAATTGTATCAATTTGGAAGCTTTTATGGAAGTATATCTAAGTCCGATGACGAAAAAATATGTTGAAATAAAAGGGCAGGTACTGGTAAAATTAATAGATTGTTCTTCTTCAATAACGGATCTCAACCATACAGGTCTAGGAATCATTCAATCATAATGCAAAAAATGTTGTTAATGGCAGACTTTGTCAAAATTTGAATGCAAAATAAAATTCTTAAATCATTTTTAAAAAATCTTTTTTATCATTATTTTAATAGCTTTAGAACGTCTTCTAAAAACTCTAGATCTGTAAATGCTTTCGGGAAGATTGATATGACAAATTATTTGACAAAAGGATTGTTTAAGTAAAGCTAAATATAAATGTGATTAAGAAAGACGTATACTTGTCATCCCTGTAAGATAATGATATGCTTAATGCTCTAAAGATTCCACTGAGAGGTCGACAAGTATAAACAAATGATGTGTTCGGTGTTTGTCAAACAAGAATCCATGTCAAGTAAAAAGGACGTGTATACTGTTGATAATATAGGGAGTAAAATACAGTTTGATTTTTTAAAAAAGTGAAATACTCTAACGTCTTCCTTAGATAAAATGACATTTTTTTCGACAGATATTTTTACATTGAAAATATTCATTATTGAAACTTAATGATCGAATAATGAAAGCATTTTTTTCTACAAGAAATATTTTTAACAATTTATACAAGCATCCCCACTTTAAATTAATATCAAGTTTTTTTTTACATCATTGACAGCTGTTGTTGCAATACAAATGGAACTAATTAATTTCCTGACCTTGTCATTGATCATCTACAAAAATTTTTTGTTTAAAAACACACCGATTTTACATGCAACTTACCCTGATGTTTATGAGACAAAATTCTTGAGTTTCTGTTTTACAACATCTATGTAGTTTTTAAACCAGGCGCACGTTTTACAGAAAACTTACGACTAAGATTAAAAGCTTAAGTAGATTGTACAGTTTTGCAGAATAAATGTTTGAAATTTCTATTGTTACTTTTTTACATTCCTTTTAAAAAGATAAAAAACACATCAAATTAAATGAAAATTAGAAAGTTATACGCAGGATTTATATTGGCACCTGATCCCACCTCTGATGTTTCGGGGTCCGTGTTTGCTCTGCTTTTATTTTGTATTGTTTTATGGACTTTGAGATTGAATACTGTTCGTTATCTCCGTATCCTTCATTTAATCTTAGTCATATTTTTTTTTTGTAAAATGGGTCCCAGGTTTCCTTAAAATCTATCGGAATTTCCATGGGTACGAAATGCAACCGGTAAAAAGCAGACCTAATTTTATATTCAAACGAAACAGAACTTGATATTCAAAATTTTATAAACGAGAAGAAAGAAAGTTGCTGTCGCCTTCCGACTTATAGATATATCGCCAAAGTTTAGTCACAATAGTAACTTTCAATCGTCAACTTTCCTTACTTATGTAGAAATATACTTTTTTCACATGCATAAAGACTTATTGCCTCTCAGTTGATTTGAAATGCAAAAATATGCTCTACATACGAATAATTTTCAAACAAGACAAGCTACCGAAAAACAAGTTGATGGAACAAGAAAATTAATAAAATCGTTAAAAATCGTCGTTTTCTAAGTTCCATTTTTGACACAACGATTTTGTAATCACATTCAATCTATCATTAACACAAATGCTGACTGGCGGTTTAATACTAAGTTAATTGTTAAACCAACTTTTACACACTTTTAAACATATTAAACTTTAAAAGTTTATTTGACTGATGCATTTATCCATTCAACATTCTAAAAAATGTTCATACCACACATTTAATAAAGTACAGAAATTCAAGGGTTTTGTCACTTCATCTTAATTACAGTGTTTACAATGACGCAAATATACAATTCTGGACAAAACTTTTTTTTTCTTTTAAAACAAAGTTCTGCCCAGTGAAATGTTACATTGAAGAATATAACACTATATAAGGGAAATCCTCTCTATAAACCAGAAAACTTCAGATACCTGCTTTATGTTAAAGATAACGTTATTGTACAAGTCTGATAGTTTGCAGATATTATCAATTATTATTGTATATTTTTATTTTTAATGTTTAAGCACTTTAGAGTAATTTTAATTATATTTAACGCTATACAAATTTTATAATAATAATAATAATAATATTATTAAAAAGTCTCACCAGCGTTAATTACGTGATGATCTACGTCACGTTTCATCTGCATTCTCAGTATTGTTGATTGGTAGAACTGAAATAAACATGAAATAGGAAGATAAAACGAACGGACGGTCATCAAATTCAAAAGTCCCTTGAAACAATGCAGAATGGGAGCAGAGCAATCACGGACCTCTAAAACATCAGTGAGGGGATCGGGAGACAAGACGAAATAGACATGGAAAGGCATCCTCCGGCCAGACTCGCCGTGTGCTCTATGTCAGGAACGGGAAAACGAAAATAAAAAATCAGTTTGAAAACAAAGGATACTTTGGAATAATTCCAATCTTAATTTTATTTATCGATTCCCTGTGTTCTGATTGGACGAAAACAAATTCAAGAAAAAGTTTACACATCGATGAATTCTTCAATCAGAACTACTTTCTTGACTGTTGTAAAAACAATGAAAACAGATACTTCTAGTCCGTTTTAGCTATAAGAAACTTGAAATAAAAAATAAATGAATGATCGAATGAATAAAAAAGGACTGACAGACGGGAATATTATGTTTATGTCACTGTCGCATCACGAGTGTGAATTTTAAAAACTCGCTGATCATGCTGTCATTTTCTCGACGTTCCATATCAGCTCAGTTGGTATCGTTGTGATAGGGAAAAGAAACGTACCTCAGACTCTTGCCTTTCTGGCATCAAATTCATATGTTTACATCCTACACATCCCATATTCTCCCTAAATCTTTGAACGAACCAGAGCAAATCGAGGACGTCGTCGGTCTTCAACTTTCGTCATGACGTCAACATGGCCATGGTCAAGGACGAATTATTCTGGAGAATACGCGTATTTACGATATTTGTTGACTTAAACAACATTCAATGAATTTTTATAAGTTTATTTATTGATTGTTTTGACAATTTAAGTTGGATTTTATCGATATTCATCTTGTACACGTTTCTTTGTGGCATCGGTGGCATTAAAGTATTCCTACGCCGTACAAAATAACGGATTGTATGGCGGCCTCAAAGGGAAATAATTTTAATAATTTAAAAACTTCGTAATTGGAATTATAAGAATTAAAAATCGTTCTTTTTTATATCCTCCGCTTGAAGAATTTATCGATGTGTAAACTCTGCCTTTTTACTCACAAACTTTACATAAAAGTGCTTCGCACTTTTATTCAGTTTGTGAGCAAAAAGGCAGAGTTTACACATCGATAAATTCTGAAAAAAGAACGTTTAATCCTATATGAAAAAATTCAGTCAACACTTGACCTAACGATATATTCTCAGTTTGATAAATATTTAATAAGAAGATAAAATTAATGGAAAAAATTAATCACTGGAAATATAATTTATTAAAATCTCCGAAAAACACCAATTTTACGAGATTTTAAATCATTTTAGACTATTTCTAATGTTGCTTCAGATTTCTATTAGCTTTTATTTTTAAATTATTTCAACAAAGATTAACTGATAGGCATGATATCATAAATTACAATTTTCAAAGCTGGTATCCTCATTTTAATACATAATCATTGATTTACGCACCATAGATTTATTTTCATGTATTAAATCTTACTGCGTTTCTTTTTGAGTAATGCCGGATTCGCGAATTTCCAATTAAAAATCGAATTTGTAATTTTGATGACTAAAATCTATACACCTAAAAAAAATTAAAGCAATGAGTGGTTTGGAAAATCAATGAATAATTTCTTAAAAATTTAAGTTTTAATTTGTATTCAAATCTCGGATTTATAATATAATTCATTTTTTATTTATTTCCTGATGAGTTGTCATCAGAATGCAAGCTTACACCAAGGTCCGGGAAAGTCATTGCCGACATCAATAAAATGTTTGTTATTTCTTAATTACAGAGTGGAATATTCCAACAGGTCAGCACCTACACGTTCTTGTAAATATCCCGGGTTCCGGCTCTTCAACGTTACAGATTGTCAGCTCACAGATTTCGAATTAAAAATAAAATTGTGAGCGTTTGAGTGTGTCCACTGTAATGATTTGTTATAAACTATTAGACAAATCGGCTGTTAGAATGGGTTTAAAATTGGTATGAGTCATGTAAACGCTAAAACGATATAAAACGATATATATTTGATCTTCATAAAGTTCTTTTCTTCATCTTTCTGCCATCATGTCTCAATTCTACACCCAATTATAAAACATTAAATTTTCTGGTTTTATGTTTTCTCTAGTTTTTCCCCTTTTACCTAGTACTAGCAGTTGGCTTCTCGTGAATTAGGGGCTTACGCTGTAGCTATTCAACTGAGCCATTGTAGACCATCATACTAAAGAGATTACAAATTTACAGTGTTTTTCTTCACTCTCATTTATTACGTTATATTTTCGTCAAAAGAAAGAGATTTATTTTCACTGTGAAAAAAAAAATTTGTCAAAGGACACTTTTATGAAAGAAAATGCCATTTTC